CACAAAGTAAAAAAATTACGCTCATTGCCTATGGTGCAAAAACATTATTAGAAAAAATTGAAATATTGATATTTTTCATTGAATTATGTACAAACAAAATAGTAAATGAATATGTCTATAGAAATCTATTACCCTTTGTATAAATTTACATATGCAGTTGCAAATATCCCCGTAGTAAACTATAGGAACATAAATATGTTTTAGTCTCCGCGCGCTTAATTAATGATCTGTATAATCGTGGTCTGTTGCGTTGCACGTATGTGGAAAGAGCGAACGGTGTTATTTGTCATTTTGGGAACTAATTGTTACTGTGACCCTCTCTCTCCAGAATAGAATTCGTACCCTTATGGGAGAAATAACAATAATACTATTGACACCTTTTTAAAGTGGTGTACAATATTGTGTACGAAAATCGTATAGCTTATGATAATGTTCTCTTCACTTAACTTATGCTACTGTAAATATTTGTTAGTGCAAGTAGACAAATCGAGGCTTCTTTGAAGATGATGTTATCATAGCATTCTTCCTTGTTAGTTTGTATGTAAAATACGCCTGATAGCACCGTAAATAGATAGACATTTTCACAGTTTTCACTACCAACAAACACGCATAACATACAAGTGTTATGGCAGAATTGCTCCAAACTTCCTAACTATCTTTTTTCCGATATCAGAAACTAACGAGTTCTTATGACGTCATTTCATTGATGGCAACGGTTCTCTTATCATTATATGATTAATTTATTTCATAAAAAAATTAATAGGGGTGGACAAAACATTAAGGACCAATTTGAGTTTGAGTATAATTGCTCAAAACTTGGTTGTAAGAACCAAACCACTTATATCACATTAAATAACACTATCAAACTAGCAACTATCTGACTATGTTCAGTGAAAGTCCTATCATTGTAGAAATGTGTTTTTCTTGTTTTGCAAAAATTTGTCATATGATCCTTTTATCTCATTGATGAGGTAAAATATAACGGCCAGGAGACAAAAAGGTCCAATATTATATTTTTAATTTTAAAGGGATTTCAGAAAATAATAGCTAATTATTCAAATAATGCAAAATATTTCTATTTTTATATCATATGTATATTTTTTACAGAGATAACAATGAATATAACCGTGATATGGTATTTTGCAGAAATATTTATTAGCAGAGTTGGAATAACTATTTGTTCAAATTATCTTATGTAAAACTGTTTTACAACTTATTTTACTTTTCACTTACTATTTTTTATAGTTTACACCTTTCCCAGGGTAAAGGTTGAGTTAGTCCATTTTACCCCGCCCACGAGTAAGCTTTTCTAGAGATTATATAAAAATTTGCTGAATCTAACTTAAAATTATGATTACATCTTATAAAACAATTAAAATACGTATAACAACGAAACTCACAACTAAGAAAACTAACAACGGAAGAAAACACTTTCATTATGGTTTGTTATTTTCTTCCAATTGTAACGCAAAAAAATCAAGGTGATGGTTGTTTGTACATATTTTTTGAATTTATGTTAGTTTTCATCACTAATTTTTGAAGTTAATAGGAATCATTTAGGAAAATAATGAAAACAATAAAAAAATACGAACTGCCTGAAAAAAAGTTGTGTTACATATTATTTATATACATTTTATCAACATATTATTTGTGTTCGAAATTAGTATTATTAAAAATGTTGCTTAAATTTCGCCGTTAAAAATTTGACAATGGTACTGTGGAACTGACGGTTATTGGATTTTCTAACATGATAGATAATGGTACTTAATCAAAAAGTTGTACTCCTTAACAATGAATTTTGTGAAGAAATTTCCATGCTTGCTGAATAGGCTCGTGGTTAGATCTTTGTCCTTCCAACAAGAAGGGGTCAGGTTTGATACTCATTTCAGAAAACCTGATGCCACGTAGTAAAGAAATAAGTAATCCACTGAAAATAGTCCTTATTGACATAACTGCATCCAATAAACGGTCAGTAGTATTAGTTATTCCGATAATAAGTTATTTTGATAAAGGTTTGTAAAATGGACCATTGTTTTTAAGGAATTCTGAAAAAGATTGTTTATACTATTATAACAACAATAACCATGATAAATCAGCAATGTCAAATTATCATCCTTGATCGTATCACATCGTTAGTGGCGTGGCCTATTACTCCACCGGATCGGCATACATGTTCATAAACGCAGAACGGGGAGCCCCTGAATGACTATTGTAATTTACTCTGACAATATACACACCTGCTACTCGAAAGGAAGGTACTTGATGTACGTTGCTTTTACACAAACCCCTAAACACACACGCACATACACACACTTGTTTGATACAAATGGCAATTGTCGCGTTCGTATTAGAAAATATTACTGAATTGCTATAAATCTCAAATTCAGAATTCGATAACATTACTTTTTGCATCTTGCATTTTTAAGTTCTAGAAAATAAGTCTAAGAAGCTGAAGTAAAAGTCTAAGACCGCTTAAGAAACAAAATTCTAAAATAGTTTCTTTTTTGCATTCATGATCGATTTTTCTTGGTATGCATATATTTATTGTCATTCAAAATATACATAGTTTTTTAAGACAATGTGTTAGTATTTATGCCTTTAAAGAGTTTATCTCGATTGAAATATCTCCTTTTTTTAACTTCCCATAGGGCAAGTTATAGTAGTCGCAAAAAAATCGAAAATGAAAATTTTTATACATCTTTACGTTTCAAAGGTTTCTGAATATGGTAGGTAGGTACGTTTTTGTGTGTGTGTGTATGTGTGTGTGTGCGTGTGTGTATGTGTGTGCGGATACGATTTCGGGAACATCGATCAGTCGATTTAAATAATTCAAAAAACATTTTACTTGTATTAACAAGATGAAGAATTGATCAAATTTTCATGAAAGCAGGTATAGCGGTTTCGGAGATCTAATGAAAAAAGTAAAAAAAATGCCATTTGGCGGTCAAAAATGATCACTAAACATATGCACATCAAATTATCAGATATTTTATAGAGATTTTAACAATAAGTATAAATTTTGTTTACATTCCTATGGGTTCCGTGCCAATGTTTATCCGTTAGACGGCGACGCGGCGCTTACGCGCTTTGACGTTTCGTCTCTGTGCTGTCAAAGCAGTATGATTGCTTTGAAAAAATGTTTAAAATTTCCAAAATATGTCAAAGTAAAGAAAACATTTTTTTTTCAAAAAAAATTTTTGTCGAATTTATAGTTTCTCAAAAATCTAATTTTTTCGAAGTAAAACTTTTTCAAAAATGTTAATTGTTTTTAAAATAATAATAATTTTTGGTACGGGAAGTTCCAGCAAGTTGCCTTAAGGCACGATGCCATGCGCCCCACTAGTTAACATTTTATTTTGGATCGTATGACCATTTTTTAAATCTAGTAGGAGATTCCTCACTCAATTTCTTTAAATATATGTTTGGGTGACCTAGTAATTTTTCGTGGTATTTTTTTATTTTTGTTCTTTTATTACTCATGATCGATTTAAACGTTTTTAGAGCATACATATTTTTTTTTATTTAACTCAAAAAAATAAAAAATAATATTTATTTATTTTTTCGCTTTGTCAAATTGCAAAGATAGATTTGTTAAATAAGACTATAATTCTATTATATTCTTATCTCCACATTGCTAACAATTTTTGAATTCTGAAAAATGGATAAAGATTTTTTGATAAAATGTGGAGGAAATTATGAGTTAATTATGAAGAAACGACTCTGCCGATCGTCGTGCAAAATCAAAAAAATCTAAGTAATCAGCACAAGTCCTTATCAAGGTACACCGAATATAAATCTCTGAATTCGGTTCAGCGATTTTTGAAAAACGTCGACAAAAGGTCAAAAATCGGTTTACCTAGAAACACACCCATACATTGACACCTTTTGTCTCAAATGAATAAGGATATTACGAAACATCGAGTAAACATTAAATTAGTAAATTTGTATAAAAATAAATAAACTGCTATAGTTTCACACAGTATGAAGTCCTACTGAGCTAGTTAATTATTATCTAAAGATTCTAAATATCTAATAGAACACATATATCGTTACGAAAAATATTAAAGCTAATTCTTTTTGAGAAACATCCCGTAAGGTGAGTTATTATAATCGCGAAAAAATTGAAAATGAAAATTTTGCCGTATTCTCACATTTTAGAGGTTTCAAAACATTTTGGCATACCTTAGAAAAAATGGATGTATTTTCGTGTGTGCTTGTGCAGTATATATGTATGTGCGGATACAATTTTTCGCCGACGTTTTCGAAAACGGAGCAACCGATTTTGATGATTCAAACACATTCGATTTCTATATCGAGCCCATCCAAGATTAGTTTTTGTTTCGAAGATACGGGACAGAAAGTGGAAAAATTAGATATTCAGTTTTTAGAATCCCATTAGAATGTGGAAAGAAGGTCCAGCAGTTTTGGAGATAAAGAGAAAAAGGTTAAAATAATTCATATGACAGTAAAAAATGATCATCAGATACACGCGCATTAAATTATCAGATAATTTAGAGTGTTTTAAAAAAGTTTTATTTTAAATTTCAAAATTGATTCAGTTTGCGTTATTCAAAATTATTCTTATAATTAGAAACATGAGATAAGATTATGTTTCAAATTGAGCTCGAGATTCGGTTCTGTTTATATAATATACTCGTATAGTCCCATTTATTGAAACATACTTAAGTGTTTTGTGCAACAAGTTCGAAGAATATGAATGATAAAAAATATTTTTTTTAGTTAGTTTTATTCATTATAATCTATTTGGAAATAATTGAAATAATTGTTCTTAATAATCGATCAATAAGTTTTATTGATTATGATTATTTTTATTCCTCGAAAATTAAATACAAAAGTGCCAGCAATTTGCAATAATGCTATGGCTCCACTAGTTTATGACTAAAATTCCTTGCGTTGGATCTATGGCTTGTATATTCTATGACCTCGTACATTGGATTTGTTATCAAATATGGCAACTTTTAGATAGGGACAATAGATATTAAAAAATATATTAAAATCAGTCATCGTTTGGCACTCGAGGTCGGTCGGCATTTGTTTTGATTTAGCCGAGTGCCCTTTGTTCGGATCGAAGGTAGTGTGTAGTGTGTAGTTTTACCTAGACAATACTAGAATATGTTCATATGTATGGCATATTTATCAAAGATACTTGCAAATCAAATGGTAAGTTAACTATTCTCGCCATTACTAAATGTTGCACATTGTAGTGTATTGTATTTCATTTCAAAAAATCATAGCTTTGATACTGGAAACAGTTCAAAGGTGCATTTCTACTGGCATGCTTGTGCATGCTAGCAATGAAATATTGTACAATAAACAGTTTTAATATTTTATTATCTCCACTATGTGAAAAGTTTTTTAATTTATACAAAAATTAGCGGAAAAAAATCTTGGAAAAATATATACCTAAAATCAATACCCTACAAAAAAAAGAGAAGAACAATTACACCATATTTATCATTGCCAGAAAGATTTAGGGGTCAACATTTTCCAATCCTTGAAACGAATTCATCAAAGAAAGATCGCAAACGCTGTGTAGTTTGTTTATCAGAAAAAAAAGATACATTTTATCAATGTGAAAATTGCCATGTGGCATTATGCATTGATCATTTCGAGCACTATCATGTTGTGCAAACTAATTAGATTTCATTCCTCTCATAATTATTAATCTATTATGAAGTAAAATTTCTTTATTTATGTAGTATTGCTTTTATTTTTAACATTTGACAACATTTTTATTTAAATACACAAAAAAAATGTTTGGTGATAAGAACAAATTTTTCACTTTTCTATGTGATGCAAATGGGTTAAGTAAATTAAAACCTGTAAACTTTGTCTATTAGAATATTAATAGACATGATTGATATGGATGAACAACGTGGAAGTTTCAAAAATTATTCTATTATCAAATTTTAAATCACGGCATTTGGATTTGAAAATCCAAACAAATATCATTGGACACATGCTTATAAAAATTATCAGATACATATTTTATAGAAATTTTAATAATCTGTTCATGCAACTTGTCAACGCTAAATGTTTCTTTGCAGCATTAGTTTGCATAATAGATTATATTTGTGACGTAATAGAATGTATATGGAATTTTGCAAGGTATGCAAATTAAAGAAAATATTGCCGAGTTTATTTTTTTTGTTATGGAATACTTTCGAAAAGAATAACTTGTATACAAGTGCGGTTCCATGCATATTCATACGACAAAGGTATAACGGGACGCCTTGCGCAAACTTTTTGCCAATTCGTCGCAACTTTCGGCCCGAACTCTTCTAACAAGTAAGATAAGATGCTATGTATAAGTACGACGATGATATACACCTTCCTTCGGTGCTGATATAATATAATACTCAATACCGAGTTTTAACAAAACTTTTTTTATTTTCACGTGCTACGGAGAAATATGATGAGAAAGAGCTCTTTTACGTCAAAAGCAAAACTATGTAGAATATCAAAAGGCGACGGCACTCCGAAATCATGTTATATTATTTTGTCAGAAAAAATATTATTTTTTTTCAAATTATGGCGGTTTTTATTTTCAGAAAAATGTATTTTATACTAATGGAATGGAATTCGACAAAGTTTTTTCTTTGATATCTAGGCATATGCTTTGTATTTTCTATATTTAAATGTGTAAGTATAATGTGTTGAAGATATCTCGAACTGGAATATAAATAAATGTATATATATATATATATATATATATATATATATATATATAGTAAACATAATAAATAATTATTGTGTGCACTTCTAATGCAATTAGATTGTGTGTCATTCAGCGGTTTTTATAATTATCATACACCAATCGAAATTAATATATAATACACGCCAATGTTTTATTGGCGTGCATCATGTAATAAAATATTAGTTAACTTCGATTGGTGAATGATGGGTGTGATTAATCAAACCGTTTAACAATACAACATAAGTTAATCTCTCATTCCATATTTAGAACAGTTTGGCACTAAAAGAAGAATATAGAATTGACTTTCAAAACACGTAATTAAATTGTTGTAATAACTATCGTTGAGATAAAGATATTGAGTACTAGAACCAAAAAAAAATGAAGCAATATTTAATCGTATAGTGTCAACGTCAACTTTTTTTTATTAAACTTATAAAATATTTCTACTATTACTAATATTACAATCCACACAGACACACACACATATATATATATATATATATATATGTATTATATATATCTTATATATAAAAATGGAGCTCTCGATCAAATGATTCGGTAAAACCCGAAAACGGCTAAAGCGATTTGGTCAGTTTTAGTCTTGAAAAATTTATGCTAATCAGTAGGTTGACGGAAAGGTGAGATATTGTTGTCAAAATCGCGTAGAAACTTTACATTTTTAATTTGAAACTTTTTGTAGAAGCCTAATTTAAATAAAACAATGGACGGTGGCTAATACGTGAAATGTCAAACGTTTTTGACAGATGATGTTCAGTTACTTTTAACACTTTGGGGACGGCTGTCCACCTCAGTGGACAAACATACTTTGTGAGGCACAGGCTATTTTCTAAACAATAACTCAGTTTGCCCGAAAAGTTGAATAAATCACATATAGCAGTGATAAACAGTATTGTATTTTGAAAATAATTTTAAGTTATTTTAGTAGTATTTTTAGCCTTTTTCTTTGCCATATGGTCTTTTTTTAATATTTAAAACGACCAAACGCTTTTAAATATGGCAAAAAGACTTGTAAATGTTGTGAATTAAGCAGTAGTGAAAATGAGTTTCAAATAGACATTCATACAGACAAATTTTACGAAATTACTATTCGCACCGATGATAGTGATGAGTGTGATGATGATATTATCCAACCAATAAAAAGAAGAAGTTCGACAAATTAAATGAAGAGCGGAAAGACATTAGCAAATATGTCGATGAACAAATATACTGACTAATCATTGGCATATTCTAAATGCGAGAGAAAGAAAACATGTTATTGTAAAACATGTCACCATTCTTTATAAAATGATCAAAAATTAATACTGTAAATGTATGTCCTTCAATGACCAAATTTTTATCAAACAAATTGCATAACTTACACAATAAAATCAAGTTTACAGCCGTTAAAATAGATTGTTTTGAATTCGGTGCCGTCCCGAAAGTGCTAATAGAAAGTTTTGCGTGAATATTTAATTATGTTTAAATTGTAGTAGGTAGATTTGTTTGTAGTTATATTTACACACCAAAACGTTATTAAACGGGCCGTAAGTGTTAATAAATGTTAACTTTTTTGAAATGTTAATATGAAAACGCAATTTTTGGCATATTTTTCTCAAACACGGTACTCTAAAAGATCTCATTTGTATAATTATATACTCATTGGTATTTATAAAACATTTTCTAGGTTATATTATTTTTTATTTATGTTCTTTAAATTCAGAACCTAAATTTATACCCCAGCTATAATTGCCCATAATTTATCGAAGAATAGATAGTAATATATGAAGGTCCGAGATTAAAAAGGTCCACCACCGATGTGTCAATAACCAGTAAAGTTAAGCATTGTTTAACAACAATATTTGAAAGTAGAGGGAAAAAGATGTATAACCAGCTATAACCTTGATTGTCATTACTTTGCTATCGGGAGATAAACGGTAATCTTTGAAAATTCATAATAAAAGTATTTTCTTCTGTTGGTAGTTTTTTTAGCATTAGTTAAAAATGTAATTATTTTGTGAATACCTTTAAAATTAAAGCAAGACATTAAACCTGCTTGCCACCTGTCCATTCCAACTTACCCCGTCTATAAGGTAAAAAGGTTTAGATAACAATTTTTTGAAAGATATCAAAAAAGCACATTTCTACAATGATAAAATAGCTGGCAGTTTTATGAATGTAGTCAGATAATTGTTCGTTTGAAATGTGTTATTAGTTGTGATATAGTTGGTTTGGTTTCCACAATATAGTTTATATTTGCTCAAAGTCAAATTGGACCTTTGTGCCTCGCTCTGCTCTACATATATACTTTTTATTAAATTTACATTAATTCATTGAATGTTACTTGAAACTTTTCAAAGAGCAGGTCAAAATACTTAATTCATTTTCTATCTCTCCTCGCAGAAATTTGAAATTTTTTATAAGCTCAGTAGTATTCACATTATACACAAAATGCAAAATCCAAAAAGAATCTGAATAACTTGCAACGTAATCAATAAGTCGAAAGACTAAAAAAGACTTGGATTGGATTATAACATGTTTCTATAGAAAATGTATAAAACGTCCAGTGTATATAGACAAACTGATGAGGTTTATTGTTTTTACAATACCTCATTGTATATAGCATTCAAACAACACATCGTTACACACTTAAATTCAAGTATTAATATTTTTTATTCTCTAGAAATTGTTTAGAAAATAACTTACTTAGCAAAACAACGTTTTCCGGGTCAGCTAGTATATATATATATATATATATATATATATAATGTGTGTGTGTATGTGTGTGTGTTATATACTATTATACTGATAGAAACATGAATTCTTATTATAATTTTATTATAAAAATGGTTTTTGTTTAATAGACATATAATTTAAAATCCTTTGTTTTCTATAGCACAAAAATAATATAAAATTTCTACAAATTTACAAAATTTTCCGACGCAATTTACAAAAAATATATAATTTTTTTAAAAAAAACTGCCGATAAAAATCATAAAATAAAATTTGAATTTTTTAAAATATGTCTAAAATAATTTTTCTTTTTTGTTACAAGGATAAATGCTTCATCATTTGTACAATTTGTTCACTATTATTTGATTTCTGGGTTGCTGTCTTTTGTGATGATGAGCGCAAGTTTAGATTTTTCACATTGCTGCTGCCGTTATTTTGACCTATGTATTGTTGAACATCTACACAAATTAATTTATATAAATTAAATGTACACATATTATATACATATATATATATATATATATATATATATATTTATTACTTTTGGATTCTTGTTCGAAACTCTACAATATATATATATATATATATATAATATATATATATATATATATATATATATTAAAATAAAATTTTATTTAATGCATACATAAGTAAAAAAAATAATTCAGTTCGATCTATACAATCTAAAAAACAAATTCAATATACACAAATTTAAGTTGTTTAATAAATAATC